GACCAATCAATGATGCTCTGCGACTATGAGGGGCTGCGTCTCCGTCCATTCTTTGTCACTCTGCTGCTACATCTAGCTGACCCAGACTGGTGCAGTCTGTAAACTTGTCTGTTTGTGCTGATGTCCAGATAACCTGTAGTTTTGAACCAGCGGCTGAAAACATGTATTAAAGAGATTATGTTGTTGAAATGTGAGTAGTTTATTCACACTCCACTACAGCTGACTTACAAAAGGAAGGGACAACCCCAGAACACAGACTCTTATTTATTATCTCCTGGACAAAAGGTCCAATAGTTGTCCAGACCTCTTTAAAAAAGCGAGGTGGAACTGGGTCTGTGGGACTGGATGAAGGTTTTAACTTGTCAACAATCCCTGTGATCACAGACAATGACACAGGCTCAAAGTGACTAAAAACAGAAGAGCGCTGTGTGGTTAGAGCGTTGTTCAAAGAAGAAGCACAAGACAATATAACTCTAATATTCTCAACCTTAGTGGTAAAAAAGACAAGGAACTTCTCACACATTTCACTCGTTCTTTCCAAAGTAGTGGAAGGACTGGGGTTACAGACTGAACCAATAGTTTTTAAAAGAATTCGAGGTTTGTTTATATTTTCTACTACAAGATTAGACAAATACCTTGTTTTTTCATTAAAAACAGTACTTTGATAAGTGCTCCAACTGTCTTTATAAATTTGGTGAGAAATCTCCAAATGATCAGTTTTCCACCTGCGCTCAGCTCTACGACACTCACGCCTCGCAGTGCGTGTGACCTCATAGAGCCATGGCTCTTGTTTGGGTTTAGGTCGCATACCTTTTAAAGGAGCGACATTGTTCAATACCCTACTACAGGTGGAAATAAATGACTCCATCAATTCCTCAGAGTCCATGGAGAGGTTTCTAAAAGACTGTAAATTTACTGCTGCATTAAACACAGTTGAAAAGGTCTCTACAGTTGCTGGCTTAATAGAGCGGCTATGATACATAGGACATATCGGTCCTAATTAATAATAATAATAATAATAATCAATAACTCTTATCATAATACTTTACATTGCAAGTTCAATCATTGAGATAAAACATTATAGTTTATTGGTCAGGTTTCTCTGTTAACTTTGGCCATAAGGCAATCATTTGTTTGTGCAGCACAAATACAGTAGATGATGAAGAATACATGGTAAACCTGGAATTCCTGTTGCACAATCTATTGGGGCAGAGGCAAAAGCCACTTTGTAGATAACAAACAATGGCCCCACCTCATGCTGCAAGCCTGAAAAAAGCAAAGAAAAATAATCAAAATACTGCTAAAATACCTGTTCTCAAAGAATGCACAGCAAGGACAGGATTTTAACAAAGAAAATGCACCACTATCAGTTGGTCAAAGTTAAAGGTGAGGACTGTAGTCTATACAATAAAACGGACTGGAAACAAAGTCCAGCACTCAACCAGGTATTTTATTTATATTATATTTATCAAACAGCTACTGCATCCTTTTGTAAAGCAGTGAAACAATGATTTGTATTTATCATTCATTTTTTGGCAAGGGGAGAATTGACACACTGCCCAACAAGTTTTAGTGGGTGTTAGATAACCTGTTACCGTTTCAATGCAAGTCCAGGCTTGAAGTTACCTCTATGAGCTCTAGTTATTGATTAAACACAAAGATAAATTGATAATTTACTCAAATCCAGACAGAAGGGATTAACAGTCACTATGTTGGTCCTGGACTGTATGTTTTGCACAGTCATCCTGTGTTTGCAGTTTTTTCTGTCTGTGCAGGTACATGGAATAGACCTAGGCAGGATTACTTTGGAATATTCAATGTAAAGTTAAGTCACTCGATCAGTCAATAGATACAAGTTATGCTGCTTGCAAGAAAAAAATCTATTCAATACGTCAAGTCTTGTTGCACATAGACCCATATAATTAGCAAAGTGGTGAATTCTGTAATATATTTCAACCTAAAACGACTTATGAATCGAAAAAATATACACCAAATTTCCAACTCAAAACTGGTTTGTTTTCTCAGACTTACTGTATATGTCAAACATTTCAGAATAAATACAATTCACTGGTCAAGAAAATGTGTAGTGAATATAATACAATAGCCCTCAGTTCTGTTAATAGATGTGTGTGTGTGCGTGTGTGAGTGTGTGTGCGTGTATTTTTACAACTGTGATGCTTATTTATCTTTGCACAGTGAAAGCCTGCTATACAAGTGATGAAAGACTGATAGTCACATAATCCATCTATGTCCTGTCTCTGGTTCTGCAACCCAAAACAAATGACTGTCATTCTAAACCATCCCATATCCTGCAAACTGCTGCTTAAATCTCTTACGTAGTGTTTTTGTCACTTTGTAAGTTAAATTCCACACATGTCTTTGTGAGTTTGATGTTATCACTCCCCTCAGGTTTGCACGGCTTTTGGTTTCCGGTTACACCATCCCTTTGCACGCTATGGAGTCATTACCAGTGTGTTTTGTGTGTGCGTGAGAAAAGAGCTTGCGTGAGAAAGTCGTAATAAAAGGTGAGGTAGCAGTCACGTAGAGCCGTCAGTATGGGTGGGTGATGGGTGGAAGAGGCTCTCAATCGAAAAGAGTGTGTGTCAAAGGTCCAGCCAAAGTACACAGATAGACTTTGGACGTGGGCTCATAAATCACTGCAGATTACATTAGTCTGCGTAGAATGAGGTCGCAGAAATAGTTAGCCCAAAGACTGAATATTCAAAGTTGTAAGTTTATGCATTGCAAATTAAGCTGTATATTAGTAACTCATGTGGAAGTTTTTCCACTACTTTGAAAGCCATATAATTATGTGTGTGTTTATTCCTATTGACCTACTTGACTTGGTTCACTTTAGGTCAGGCCCGCTCTGCCGCACTAACCCAAAGTATAAACACATGAGTCCACAATGAGTGCATTTTACAAAAGACTATAGTGGAAATCTAATGTTGAAGAAAGACTAATGTCAAGCCATGCACTGGAATTATGGAGTTAAAATGCAGTATATTTGGAGTAGGTGGATCAAACTGGATCATTTTAAGACATGGTCACTACACATTAAGAGAAAAGCGATACTTACAATAACCATTTTTGGTTTTTTAGACTTAAGACAGACTTTATTGATACACAAGGGAAATTGCGTTGTCACAGTAGCTTGCATAGTATTCCACAAAAAATATATATTTGTTCATGAGAGAAGGAAGGAGGAAAAGATTGACAGACGGATTAGTGCAGCGTCTGCACCAGTGGGGGCGGGTCCCGGCTCAAAAGTGGCCAAAATGACGTGCGCTGACATGCTTGCAATACCACCCCGGGCCGATGGGGGTGGACCCGGAATAAGAATTAGCCAATGCTAACATATAACATCTTCTTACCTCTTGAAAAACTCTTTACATGATGGTCCAAAAGTCGGCTCTTCATGTGTGTCAATGCTGAGGGGAGTGCATTTTTTTGGACCAGTCTAGGGATGTACCGAATCCAGGTTTTTGGGGTTCGGCCGAATACCGAATCCTATTCCATCCTCAGTCCATTAATGTTTCATATGCAAAAGTTTTAACAGCGGCGGTGTTGTGTACTGTTTAGGGTCCTTACCACCACGAGGCAAATCGGCATTGCAAATTAAACATGTAGCTCGACCACAATCTATTATTATAACATTCATAATAATCCCGCTTATCATTAAACACAAATACATTCAGTTCACAGCAGTGTAAAACTTCAGTGATAAAGTACATATATTACTGTGCATGTCATGTAAAAATAAGAGCTAAAGCACCGTACATGCATAAATAGCTTCCACTGGTTCAGGTCAAAACATTACATATATGGACATTTGAGAAATATGCCAAACTCGTAGAGACAAGTTGGAGAGAAGCTAATGCTAAGAGGCTAGTTGCCTAAACATGGAATTACCAACTCTGCTTCCACGGTCATACGCAGCTCAGATGACAAGTACCTGGCACTGGTAATCGGCTCCATAAAGTTGGTGAAAAGGAAGTTAGTTTATGATCCATCAGAACCGCATTACAGGTGAAAACAAGAATCATCATCCCCTCGCACTGGCATATGACTAGAACTAATTGGACCGCGGGGATCACATGACCAGGAAGAGACCTCAGCGCACCCGAAGAGGAACAGAGAGCAAGAGGATATAAACCTCCGCTAAAGTGCATGTTTATTTACACTTCCAAACGAATCTGATTTCCGTGATGAATCCACAGCCACAGTGCGCATAGTGTAAGTGCAGGGTTCGGGTTCGGTGGGGAAAAGTTCTAAGGTTCGGCGAGAAACCGAACCCCGTCAAAAAAGACAATATTCGGCCGAATCCAAACCCGAATCCTGGATTTGGTACATCCCTAGTCTAGTTTAGTCGCTGTGACTAAATTGGGGGAGGGTCCCAGCTCAAAAGTGGCCAAAATGACGTGCGCTGACATGCTTGCAGTACCACCCCGGGCCGATGGGAGTGGACCCAGAAGAAGAATTAGCCAATGCTAACATATAGCATTGGCAGACCTCTCAAAAACGTCTTCACAGGATGGACCAAAAGTTGTCTCTTGGCCCAAAGCTCCGTTCCACATGTGTGTCAATGCTGAGGGGGGTGAATTTTTTTGGTCCACTCTAGTTTACTTGCTGTGAATTTTTGAAGTCTCTCGTTCAAATGAATGGAGCTGCGCCGGCTGACACATGCGCAGATGCGTTTTTTCACAATTTTCTTGTGGGCGGGACCACTCGCGGCCATTTTGGATCGCTCCAGTAGAGCACATTTTTTGGCCCATTAGTTAGAAAGGCAGAGATAGACGTGACTCTGTCCGTTAATATATACAGTCTATGGTTTTTTCACATTTTCCAGCCCCCGCTGCCATTTTGAAACTGCCCATAGACCGCAGAAGTTTTGGCACATTAGTTAGAAACGGCGGAGATAGGAGAGACTACGTCCGTTAATATTTACAGTCTATAGTCTGAACCTAAATAAAGAGTATTTACTTACTAAAGTGCAGTGTATGATACTACAGTTCGCCTACAGAGCCAACAGATCTGTAGACGACGCCATTAACCTGGCCCTCCACCACATCCTACAGCACCTGGACTCCCCGGGGACCTACGCCAGGGTCCTGTTCGTGGACTTCAGCTCTGCCTTCAACACAATCCTGCCATCCCTGCTCCAGGACAAGCTCTCCCAGCTCAACGTGCCCGATTCCACCTGCAGGTGGATCATTGACTTCCTGACGGACAGGAAGCAGCGAGTGCGTCTGGGGAAGAATGTCTCGGACTCTCGGATTATAAATACAGGAGCCCCACAGGGCTGTGTTCTTTCTCCCCTGCTCTTCTCCCTGTACACCAACCACTGCACCTCCAGCCACGACTCCGTGAAGCTGATCAAGTTCGCGGACGACACCACCCTCATTGGACTCATCTCCAACAACGATGAGTCCGCCTACAGGAGGGAGGTGGACCGGCTGGTGTCCTGGTGCAGTGGTAACAACCTGGAGCTGAACGCCCAGAAGACAGTGGAGATGATTGTGGACTTCAGGAAGAGCACTGTCCCCCCGCCCCCACCCTCCGTGATGGACTCCCCCATCACCTCTGTGGAGTCCTTCCGTTTCCTGGGCACCACCATCACCCAGGACCTCAAGTGGGAGCCGACCATCAGCTCCCTCATCAAGAAGGCCCAGCAGAGGATGTACTTCCTGCGGCAGCTCAGGAAAGCCAAGCTGCCTGCACAGATGTTGGTGCAGTTCTACACGGCCATCATCGAGTCCATCCTCACCTCCTCCATCACCGTGTGGTTCGCTGGAGCCACAGTCAGGGACAAACAGAGACTACAGCGCATTGTGCGCTCTGCAGAGGAAGTGATCGGCCGCAGCCTTCCATCGCTGCAGGACCTGTACGTCGCCCGAGCTCGAGGCCGGGCTGGTCGTATCACAGCCGACCCCTCTCACCCTGCACATGGACTATTCCAACCACTCCCCTCAGGCAGGAGGCTGCGGTCCATCAGGACTAGAACCTCCCGCCACAAGAACAGTTTCTTCCCCTCTGCTGTTGGACTCTTGAACACTTCTTAACCTGTCCCCCCGCCCTTTATAAAGTCACTTTACTGCCCATCATACGTCACTTTACTTCACTGTACTGCTGTCACCTTACATTGTGTGCACCATGTGCACTTGTATATTGTAAATAGTAACTGTAACTCTATTTTAAATTTAAATTTATTCTTTAGAAGTGTTTTTTATTCTTATTTTTATTATCTCTTTTTGACTGTTGCACTGAGCCAAAGCAATTTCCAAGTCTGTGACCTCCCGTTACTTACGTTGGCAATAAAAATGATTCTGATTCTGATTGTAAAAAGGGTAGGCAAAATAATTAGCTTCAGCCTATACCTTTTCAGTCTTTCTGCTGTAAAGTTACCGCCAAAACTTGCATTTCTGCCAAACCCCGACACATGACATTTTCTTCTCAAAAGGCAATTGTTTATAGTGCATTGTCCATGATCAAATAATTCAATTCAGTTAAATTGAGCTGATTAATTTAAAAACAACGGTTCTATTTGGTGAATTATATGAACATTCTTTAACACATTTTGATCCAGTATTTTATGCGCAGACATAAAAACATGAACCAAAGCGGGATGCAAGTGTATCATTGACTTCTAACTTCTACCTTCTACTAACGTTCAATTTTAACTGATATCACTACTGGTAGTTAAACTCCAGGTTTTACTTGGGTGTAAACATGAAACCAATGAGGTTTCATATTACACCAAATTGGCTAAAATGGTGTAGTATAACATACTTTATGTTTCATGCATTTTTTTCATGCTCACAAATGTTGGCTGTATCTTTTGCCTCACCAGTCTTTATAAAAGGTAGTATAAATGTAGTAATTGATACTTAACATACAGATACGCTCGCTTTGAGTGCTTTAAAATTCCCAGTGCAACTCCATGCTCTTCCCACAGTTGCAGAACAGACCGCCTCCAAACACAAACCAGTTTCCTGCAGTATAAACAGCAGCGTTGGACACACAAAGTAGAGAGAAGAGAGTGAGGCAATGGGGCTGTTTCCTGTCCTGGCACTGCTGCTCTGTGCGGGGGTCTCTGAGGGGGCGAAAGTCCTTGTTGCACCCGTAGAAGGAAGCCACTGGTTAAGCATGAAGATTTTGGTCGAAGAACTTGTTGCCAGAGGACATGAACTCGTAGTGCTCGTCCCTGATGTCAGCTTACTCATCAAGGGCTCACAGAGTTACAGCACGGTCATGTACAAAGTTCCCTACACTAAGGAGGATCTGGATGCAAAGTTAGAAGAATTGAGGGGCACAATCTTTTTACCACCAACGTTTTCGGATATGTTTGAGAATCTAAACCGCTTGGTAAATTTTACAAATCAACAGACGCAAGGATGTGAGAATCTACTGAAGAATGAAGAGCTCATGGATCAGCTAAAAAGAGAAAAATTTGAGGCGGTACTGACAGATCCTTTCCTTCCTTGCGGGTCTCTTTTGGCACGCATTTTCTCAATCCCGGCTATTTACTTTCTACGTGGACTTCCCTGCGGGCTGGACCTAAAAGCTAACCAGTGCCCCTCACCTCCATCTTTTATCCCAATCAGCTTCTCTGATAACACAGATAAAATGAACTTCTTCCAAAGAGTCAAAAACGCACTGCTCTATGGAGTTGAGTCATACATGTGCACTGTTATGTATGCCAGTTTTGATGATCTGGTGAGAAGATACATTGACGAGAACATGTCTTACCAGCAGCTACTAGGTGAGGGAGCGATATGGCTGCTCAGATATGATTTCACCTTTGAATGGCCTCGACCAATCATGCCCAATATGGTGTTTATTGGAGGGATCAACTGTGCAAAGACATCTCCCCTGCCTGCGGTAAGTGCCTGGGAAATGTTTTGTAATATGTAGCTAATAAATCTGGATCCAATCAGAGTCACTGTGGCCGTGCTTTCTGCTTGGTGCTATACTACTACTACTATTAGAACTGGTACTATACTAAACTATGGTGACCTGAGTAATTTCAGTTTCAAAAAAGCAACATAATAGCGCTGTGTATTGTTAGGTAATTTTTTTTAACCGTGAGTGTGTAACCTTAGTCTGCATCCACTTGAGTTGTTTATAACAACTATTTTATGCCTCTTTATGAAATAAATAATTTTTCAGAAGAACTGTTTCCTTAGAAAAAATACCAGATTCTTTCTACCCCCAGATAAGTTAAGTTTTCTTCCTAATTGTACTCAAATTAACTGGAGTAATCTCTTGTACTTTAATTATAAAACAATGTGTGTACATCATAGTAATAATTTACTCATACTGGAATAGGATTGTTTGCCTTCTTATCTGTTCTACATCTGTATATATTTTTTGTGTTTTTGTGCACACCCATCTGGATTCACTCATGACCAAAACAAACAGACTGCAAGTGTCCAAAGACAGGAAGTATCTTTGACAATCTTGACCATCTTAAAAAATAATGTAGCATTTAAATGCAATGAACTTCTAGTAACAAAATGGCTTTACTTTTTTAGGGACAAAGCAAAATCATTTTGTCTGAGGATTGTTTATAATCTGACAGTTTCTCAAGCGCTTCAAAGATTTAACCAGACCAATTACTTGAAATACACCTAGTTGTCATTCATTCATTCTATTATGGCATATTGATAGTAATTTTTGTTAGTTTACGGAGTAAACTAACAAAAATGACTATGACGGAGTAAGTTTTCAAGTTTCAGATTATTTTGGCAGCAATGCATAAATTCTCCTGCTTCCTGGTCTCTATGCAACCCTTTCCCGAGCCCCCTCAATCACACAGGACTCAAGCTTTTAATCTCTTTTGTTTATGTTACTTGCATTGAGCTAATCCTTGGAACATGACCCTATTGAGAGCTGATATCAACAATGGCTTCTAGACCTGCAAATGGCTGCAGGTTGGCAATGTGTGCAGGAATGTCATACAAAAAGCTGCTTATAGAGCATTAGGTGTGTTTCAGACCAAGAGTTAGCCATGACTGTTATATTTTCTGGTTGAAAGATACAACTCAATATTAAATTCACATGACAAAACCAATTGTATATTTTGTTTGTAAAGCCTGGTTGAGGCGGCAGACTTGTTTGTTTAAATAAGTTTATGTATTGTATAGTGTGCCTATTGTCTGGCATCTGGTGCTTTTGTTGGTGTTACTGGTGTCTTATAAGCCCATTAGGGCTGGGCATACAGTGTGTATGCAAGACACAATAATAAAAACGATTCATTCATTCATTCATGTATAGTGTGTTGTAATGCCATCCATCCATCTTCTTCCCCTTAATCCATTTCTGGGTCGGGGGGGTGGCAGTCAGAGCTGCACCCAAGTCTCATAGCACCAGCCCCTCACTGATCCTCTGCAGGTGGTGAGTCCACAGGAGGACGGCTGCTCTGTCAGTGACAATACAGCCTTGATTTTTCAGCGGGGGGTTCAGGCAATGCAGGGTTAAGTGTCTTGCCCAAGGACACAACGACAGCAGTCATCAGTGGGAGTCGGTGGAGAAGGTCCCGTGGTGGGCTTGAACCCACGACCTTCAGGCTCAAAGGCCAGTGCTCTACCAACTGAGCTACTGTCGCCCTGCCCTCTGGACAGTGTTGTAATGCAATAATGGAATCTGTGCAAATCAAAAGGAGTGCTTTTGCTTTTATCTGCTATAGCAAGTTACCCTTTTAAGTCTTGCATCAGAGACACATGTGTGCATCCTCTGATTAGTTCAAGACAATAAACGTTTGAAATAGCAGAGTCCCAGACAATGAACTGACAAAACTGCTTCCAAACAGTAGTCACACAAAAGCTTTTGAATGTAAGCAAGAAACATGTTTGTAGCAGTTTTACACGCAAAAAGTAGTATCTTAAGACTAAATATAAATGTTTGTCTTAGCAAGCCTTTACAGCATCCTAAGACACATATTTTGTATATTTTGTGTGCTCCCTGTGTTCTTACTACTGTCCTGTGTGTACGCTGCAACATTGCAATTTCCCCACTGTCTTATCTTATCGGAACATAATATTTAGCCTAGGATGAGAAAGACTAGGATCACAACCATAAAATGCAATTGAAAACAAATAAATGTTCAAGATACATCCATGAAGAAAATTAGAATCGGAGACATTAGAAGCATGCCTCAAATTTAACCCACAATTAGTACAAAGATAAAAGTGTTGTGCTACCCAATATTATACTAGCTGTAAGAGTTTTATTGCAACCCTACACATTTGTTTTGGTGTTTAAAGACTTCCAGGTGTGGTCTAGTCTGTTGTTACTTGCAGAACATTCCTAGAGAATATACGGCGTGGATATGGTTGAATAAGGTCAAAACTTCCCCATAACATGAGCTTTCTATTTTTCCCTGTAGGATCTGGAGGAGTTTGTGGAGGGATCGGGGGAACATGGTATCATTGTGTTTACTATGGGCTCGATGGTGTCCGACATGCCTATAGAAATTGCAAAACGCTTCTTTGACGCCTTTCGACAACTCCCACAAAGGGTAAGAAGAGTTGTGCAAGTGTAGTCCAATCAAGGTATCAACATTTCAATGATCTGCAGACCTTTCAATCAACAGGTCATTAGTCATTAGACATTCTGAAGTGCTTATCAGTGGAGAAATAGACTTTGCTCAAGCTGTTGGCCTAGTGTTAACATGCAACTACCACACTGTGAAAACTCTACTTATTAACATTGAGACTAGAATTCTAGTTAATGAAACAAATACATTTGCAATAACTCAATCCCACAGGCAGCGGCATCAGCTATTAAGGATGTTTTATCTTTCAAGGTTTTGTGGAGATATGAAGGAGAAATACCGGCTGATGCCCCGAAGAATGTGATGCCGATGAAATGGCTGCCGCAAAATGACTTGCTTGGTATGTTTCTTTACATTAAATTTAAGCAGCTTTGTAGCTAATATTTTCCCATCTTTTTTCAGAACTATATATTTTTGTTTAGGGTGGTGCTATTGCAATTTGACGTGCTATAATTTAAGACTATATTTACTATGAGATTATATTGAAGACATATATACAGTATATATATATATATATATATATATATATATATACATATACATACATAGTATATAAATCATACTAAAGTACCCCTTGAGTTCATGCTCTCATTTTTATCAAATATGACTACCCATTTATATATGTTTTCACTTCCCACCAGCCCATCCCAAAGCACGACTCTTTATGACCCACGGCGGAACCCATGGCATTTACGAGGGCGTCTGTAACGGCGTGCCCATGCTCATGTTCCCTCTGTTTGGAGACCAGCGGGACAACGTGCATCGCATGGTGGCCAAAGGGGTGGCAGAACAGCTCCTCATCTATGACCTGAGCACTGAAAGTCTGGTCACTGCACTCAAGAAGATGCTCAATGACAAGAGGTACGTTGGGAATGTTAAACAAGAGCCATATTCGACTCTTGTTTAACATGTGGATTTTTTCATACATAAAATGTTCCATTTGACGCCAGATAACGGAGACTCTCTCAGTTTAAGACTGGAAAAATTTTGTTGGATTTTATTTATCAAAAGAAATACCTATTTTCCCGAGCTTTAATAAAGTAATTGTTATTGCAGTCCAAAACTTTGTTGCCCACGGTTTAGAGCACACACACGCAGCTCCTGAAGTTTTGAAGAGTATAAGTGATCCCTTCTGATTTTGATAAAACTATAAATCATGAACGGCCGAATATGACTTTTACATGTTCATTATAAAAGGCAAAAGCATAAGGTTTGCATAACATTATAGAATTATACTAAAGCAAATAAATAAAATGTATCCAATATTTTGCTAATGATTGCTTTGTGGTGTTTGCAGATACCAGGAGAACATGCAAACATTATCCAGCCTGCACAACGACCGCCCTGTGCCTCCTCTGGACTTGGCCGTGTTCTGGACTGAGTTTGTTCTGAGGCACAAAGGAGCCGATCACCTCCGAGTGGCAGCACACAACCTCAACTGGATCCAATACTTTTGCCTGGACGTTCTGGCGTTTTTAGCCCTCATTGTGTTCATTGTTGTGTGGATTACTGTGAAATGCTGCTTGTTTTGCACCAGGACGTGTTGTGGAAGAGGGACAGTAAAAAAGAAGCAAGCCTAGTTTTTTCATGTTGTATGAATTTTGTGTGATCGTATTTTCTATTTGTGAAAAGTTGTGTTTGCTGCAATTCCAAATGCACTGGTAAATGTGTTGATCCTAACTGTTTCTATTGATCAATAAATACTTGTGTTTTGTCTTTTATGTTTTGTAGTAAGTTGTGTGATTTTATATGACCAAAAATGATAAGTTCTCATGATATTATTATTACAAATATATATTGCAAATTATAAAGGCAGCGGCACAGCAAGACTGTCCTAAGTTTGATTCCACCACCAGACAGGGCCTTTCTGAGTTGAATTTGCATGTTCTCTCAGTGTCTATGGGGCCAGGACTCCCCTGAATAAAACGCAGACACAGACAGAACTTGATTGGCCAATCAGAATACAGCTTTTTGCCCATCATCAGGTTTGTTGAAAATAATATTTCTATAAGGAATCTGCTTTACAATGCAGTCTTTTCCCTCCAGTGCCTTTCACTTAGTTTTTATAGTTTGCAATCTGTTGCTGTGTCTAAATTTAACAGCCTATAGTCTATGCTCATGTGCCACTGATCGCTCATGACTGAAACATATCCTAGTCTTATTGAAGCCACGAACACTGCAAGTGTTTTAAAGTTTTTGCAAAGCGCACTTGTGTATGCATGAATTGGGAACACGTAAACGCATTATTGCAGCCCATGAATGTGGATTTCTCAGGGATTTTCGGTGCTATCAATGTGAAATAAAAGTGTGTTCCTGAAGCTCTATAAAGAAATGGTTCATGGATTTAGAAAAGTGCCCCTTGCTCTACAAGGGAGGGCGTGTCTCGGCCTCGTCCTACTGTTTTTCCACACATGCCACTACTCTTTGCGTCTATTCACTGCTGCCCTTTACGCACGCTTATTTAGTCAGGTGGTGGGTGGGCGTGCTCTCAAATCTAATGTTCTTAAAGTGTTGCGCAAAGCATGCAATCCTAGAAATGAAGACAAATATTTAAACCATAAAACTTACTATTACTTAAAAGTATATTAAAAGTGACCATATTCCCATATTCACATTGGGTTATAGTAGCTAATTGAGAATTCACCTTGGCTATAATATTGCTGTTTCATATATTCACAAATGTTGGCTACCACTCCTACCCCCACATTTTTATTATACATTCAGTATTTGATTAAAGTGGAATAAAAATCTACATCCCAGTGCAACTCCATGCTCTTCCCACAGTTGCAGAACAGCCCGCCTCCAAACACCAACCAGTTTCTTGCAGTATAAACAGCAGCGTTGCACACATAAAGTAGAGAGAAGGGAGTGAGGCAATGGGGCTGTTTCCTGTCCTGGCACTGCTGCTCTGCCTCTGCGGGGGGATCTCGGAGGCGGGAAAACTCCTTGTCGCACCTGTAGAAGGAAGCCACTGGTTAAGCATGAAGATTTTGGTCAAAGAACTTGTTGCCAGAGGACATGATGTAGTAGTGCTTGTCCCTGATGTCAGCTTACTGGTCAAGGGCTCACAGAGTTTCAACACTGTCATGTACAAAATGCCTTACACTAAGGAAGATCTGGATGCAAAGTTCAACGAATTGAGGAGCGAGATTTTCAATCCGCCAAAGTTTTTGGATATGTTTGAGAATGTAGACCGCTTAGTGAATTTTACAACCATGCAGGCACAAGGATGTGAGAGTCTATTGAAGAATGAAGAGCTCATGGATCAGCTAAGAGGAGAAGCATTCGAGGCGTTACTGACAGATCCTTTCCTTCCTTGCGGGTCTCTTCTGGCACGCATCTTCTCAATTCCAGCTATTTACCATCTGCATGGACTTCCCTGTGGGCTGGACCTAAAAGCCATCCAATGCCCCTTACCTCCATCTTTTATTCCAATCAGCTTCTCTGATAACACAGAAAAAATGAATTTCCCCCAAAGAGTCAAAAACGCACTGCTCTATGGAGTTGAGTCATACACGTGCACTATTATGTATGCCAGTTTTGATGATCTGGTGAGAAGATACATTGACGAGAACATGTCTTACCAGCAGCTACTAGGTGAGGGAGCGATATGGCTGCTCAAATATGATTTCACCTTTGAATGGCCTCGACCAATCATGCCCAATATGGTGTTTATTGGAGGGATCAACTGTGCAAAGACATCTCCCCTGCCTGCGGTAAGTGTTTATAGCAACTTTATTTTTGATCCTTAAATGTCGACTCTTTCTGTCATTTTGAAACAAAAGGCCCCAAGCATTGGATTGTACACTTACTAATAGGGAAAATTGTGAGTGTAAACTAGGGATGTAAATCGGCGACCGTTTAACCGGTGGTTGACCGTCACAGCGTTAACCGGTCAAAGCTGTCGGTTAAAAAAGAGAAAAAGGGGAGAGGGGAGGTCTCTTAATAACGCTATTTTAAGCCCTATTTGCACGGTGTGACGAGCGGGTCTGTATCTAGCTGTGTGCGTATTATAAACTCCGGGAGGACTCTCACGCCGCACGAGCCACATATGCACACACGCACGCGCGCGCGCACACACACACACACACACACACACACACTTTCCCCCTCTCCATACGTAACATCCACACGCATCATCTCTCCCCTCTGTTACCGTCAAAGTTGCACACTGGCGCGGGTCAGAACTACATTGGAGCTTACATTTACACACACACACATATACATACACACACATACATACACACACACATACACACACACACACACACACACACACACACACACACACACACACACACACACACATACCGGTCTGTCGCGCTCCTCTGTGTCACGGAGCCCAAAGGATTCGCGCAAATACGCGGCTCCAGTCAAACCACATGGAACATGTTTGTGTTTATGGTCCTCGGGATCAGCTCCACACACATCACTTGTATTTAAACTTTTGTGAAGACCTGTGAGACGCGGCTCGTCACTCGCTGCTCTGACCATGTGAACGAGCCGTCGTTTGCTGCTAGAAAGTTTTGGTATTAACCCGCAGCACAGCAGAATGGGAAGATTAAAAAAGCAGTTCTCTGTGCGCAAAGGTGCCGGAACTGTTGCGGGTTTGGGCGCCGCTGTCTCGGCTCTGATCCAGTAGAACGCAGAGCTGCACTTATGAAAAGTACGCGGCTCGAAATGGCTGTTATTTCAAAGAACGTGGACTATTTTAAACTACGCGGTTAACCGGTTTCAACCGGTTAATGAGGCTCGGTGGTCGGTCATGAAAATTCATAGTTTTTTACATCCCTAGTGTAAACACATTGTAGTATGTGTACACTGACACATTCTGATGATGTGCTGTTGACCCTATGACCAGTTATTACCTTGATCAGCCACATTTGCAATTTCATTAGCTAGTAATGTTGTCACAGCACTGCAACAATTTATCACCGAGCAATGGACTGCGTTATTCCGCAATATTAGGGATACATCTATAGGACCCATACGCATACGAATAGCCCAAAATTCAATAGCTGGGCATCAGTGGTTTCGCTAGAGATCATTTTAGCCCGTCATAATGAAGGACAGGGTCCAAAAAAAATCCGTCATGAGCTATTTTTATCCGTCATTTTATTTTCACGTTTGAAATACCCTATAGGCTATTAATTAAACAATTGTATAAACAAAAACAGGCTTTATAACGTGCTTTATTAGCTGTTCGTTTACAAATGTACAATACATTTAATTTGTGAATATATAAAGTTGCATAAAAATCGCTAAACAATCGACAACTCTGCGTAACATTTAACCTGCATTAACATGTGGAACAAACACGTACAGGAGTTTGCCTGAATGCGGTTATTAAACCTTCTTTCGCGGCTTTGTGGACTTAAAGTGAGCACTCGCCTGTTCATAATTGAATGTGTGCAGGGCTGGCGACACCGAGGCGATTGTCATTAGAGTTTGTGTTTTTGTCTCGGTCAGACGGCTTCGAAGTGCAGTTTTGATTTTATTTTGGAGACTGAAGCCGCGCTCAGCAGCGACACTTGACACAGGCGCTACTTCGGCCAGAGTTTTGTAGTCTGGGAACATCTCCGCGTATGTGTTGATGAGAAGCTTACAGGAGTCCTTAAATGGCGGGTTACCTGAACCTGCAAGCACACGTTTCACGGAGCGAAAGTCCCGTACCATCCTTTCCTTTTCAACGAGTGAGACCGCTGCATTTGTGGGCGCGCCATAAAAGTCAGAAAGGCGCTCGACAGCATCCAAGCCGTACTCCTGCAGCGCGCTGTTAGTGTATAAACGGCGCTGGCGCCATCTAGTGGAGAGGACGGTCAACTATGACTCGCAATGTAAAATTATAACTTAATTTTCAATCCTTCAAAATGACGGACGGCATTCCAAATTTTACGTCAGAAAAAAAAAAAATCCGTCAATGACGGAGAATTTTCAGTTAATGTAACCTCTGCTGGGCATATACAATGGATCTATTATAATATCTGGATAGGGTATTATTAGCTTGCAGCTGAAGGACCCATGTGCTCGTGGGATTCTCGCGGTAGTGCAGACTAAACCAGACAACATTTTACTTTTTACTGATTTTGTCAAAGTGCGAAATACAGCAAAAAGCACAGCAAAACGATAGTGGCGTATATACTTCCTGATTAATGGTTCACAGATCAGAGCAATTGATGTAGGCTGATCATCCCTCTATCCTCTATGATAACCCTGGATGGTGATCATTTCAATTGGGCAAACTGAATTTTCTGAAAGGATTTGATTCACTTTTCATTCTTTCATTCTCATTCATTCATTTCTCAGCGCTCACGCTTGTTACTCCAAAGCGCATTCCCGTGTCCGCGGCGCGCCCACGCACACACACATGTCCCACTGAGCTGCGGCACTTTGGGGAAAGACACGTCTCACACATTGCTCTCATTGCTCTGATACAAACAACGTGTTTCATGCTCAAGCTGTTAGCTACAGTTGCAGAATATAAACAGGAAGAGAAACGGAAATTTAACTTGCACAACGCAGTAGTCACTGAAGTTAGTATTAGCGCCACCAGCTAGACCGAGCGTTGTACTACAGCACA